GAGAGAAAGAGAGAGAGAGAGAGAGAGAGAGAGAGAGGGCGGAGGGAGAAAATGGCACATGCACAGGAACTCTAAATATTCACCAATATCCATCTTATTCAGCTGACCTGGTGAGCAGAAAGACTGAAATATGGTCGAGGACGACTGTAGAGAGGTCGGTATTAACAAAATCAATATCAGAAAATACTGCTGTGCTTTTTTGTACATGTACAATCACATTGACATGGTTTCACAGACATTGTGGCATAATATTAATACAATTTTTAAGACTGTTTCTTGGCAAACTATATACCTGGTACATAAACATATTTTTAAGAAAAAATAGATAGATAGATAGATAGATAGATAAGCAGGTGACAGACAGGACAGACAGACAGACAGACAGATAGATAGATAGATAGATAGATAGATAGATAGATAGAAGCTTTGATCACAGAAATAAATCACTTTTTAAAATATACTCACATTGAAAACAGTCATTTTAAGTTGCAATAACATTTTACAATATTACTGCATTATTAATCAAATATATATGTATAGTGAATTTTGGGGAGCAAAGCCAGTGGTTGTTTTGTAGGCAAACATCAATGCCTTGAATTTTATGTGAAATTTTAATTAAATTTAATCGGTCCTTACTGAAATAAATATTAGTACACAAACCCCTACAGAATTAATTCAAACAACACTGATCAAACTTATTCCAATTACAAGTCATGTTTTACATATCAACCTACTTATAAAACATCTCTGTCTCACATTCTCTCACCATCAGTTCTTTGTGTTCAAACTAAAGCTAAAAAATGAGGGAGAGGGCTTTTTTTTTCTCTTATTACTGTACCAAATTCGTACATGACATAAAATTTAATTTACTATGTTTTAATTAATCTGTACTCTTACTTAAAGGCAATTTAGAAAATTATCTAATGGGAGAGGAAGATTTCCTGAGGACAAAAGCTGTAACGCAGCCCCAGATTTACGGCACGGCTTTCCGCACCAATGCTTGGATGCTTTTCAAACTCTTCATTTTCTTCACTGGAGTGGGATTATGAGGATCTGCATGGCCAGTTTGTGTATTTAGGACACTTGTTAATAAAAAAACAACATAATCAAGTGGCTTATTTGACCTCTAGCAGGACTTTAGACACCAGTACAGCACAAAAGGATGATTACCTGAGCTTTAAAACACATTATGGCATCAAGAAAACATCTGTTGCTGTAAGTTCTGCTGGCTAGAGACTAAAGTAGAAACACCAATGATCTACATGAAATGAAAAGACATATTTAAGTTTCTTTTTTAATATATAGAAGTCATTTACAGAGCTGATAAGCCATAATTGTTTAGGGACTGGAAGGGTTTGATGGACTGTGATGGTTGGATTTAACCTCTATTAGCTTGAAGCAGACTCCAGGCTGTTCATCTATCTGACTGACGTACGGACGAGAATGTCCACATGCAGCGACACACAAAGAGTTTGTGGTGCTTAACAGATCTGGAAACGCCGATGCTATCAACCCAATAACAAGTCAGCACAGGTTTCCTTCTTTTACTTGACTTTGTAGTGTGTATAAAAGGGTCGTAAATCTACAAATGCAGGTGTGCTAAATGACATGACCTTAATTCTAAATAAATATGTAGGACTGCGTGTTTGGAATTAAACATGCCATCTATTTTTTTTCACATTATTGTTCCTCTGTTTCCATTCTTAATGATTTCTTACTCGAATCTTGCAGGATTTGATGCGTAATGTTTGTTCAGTGAGTCTACAAACACTCAACATGAATAAAAACATTTGATTTGTACATGTTATGAAGAATATACACTATCAGTAAAAGTTTGGATTAATAATGTTTCAGAAAGATGTCTTTTTTGCTCATCAAGGATATATTCATTTGATCAAAAATACAGTAAAAACCGTAATAATGTGAAATATTTTTATAATTTAAAATAACTGTTTTCTATTTGAATATATTGTAAAATATAATTGATTCCTGTGATCAAAGTTGAATTTCCAGTATCATTGCTCCAGTCTTCAGTGTCACATGATCCTTCAGAAATCAATTATCATTGGTGCTCAATTATTAATAATGGCTCTAAAAATGCTGAAAACCCGTTTTTGTTGCTTAACATATTTTGTGGAAACAGCATTTATTTGAAATAGAAATCTCATAATATTATAAGTAATATTAAAAATAAGTAAAAATCTTGTAATATTATAAATGTCATAATCAAAGTATTAAAAGTATTAATTAAAATAATTAGAATAAAAGTATTAATTTTTAAGATAAGATTCTATTTTTCATTTGTTCTTTTGCCTTTCATTCATTTTTTCTTTCACTCTTTCTTTCATTTGTTCTTTCGCTCTTTCATTCTTTAGCTCTTTTAATTTCTTTCTTTCTCTTTCTTTCGCTCTTTCTTTCATTCGCCCATCAATTCACTCTTTCTTTCTTTTGCTCTTTCTTTTATTTGCTCATCAGTTCTTTCTTTCTTTCTTACACTTCCCTTGCCAGGCAAAAATCATAAGTCAGATCACTTAGAAAAAAGTATTAATACACCAAAAAGTGGCATGATTTCAGCAACATCTGCAGCACAAACAGTGAAGTTTAATGCTTCTGATTAAGGATTTGAACAAATCTCAAACTCTTCAGTGTGAAGAACAGCAATACTGAAGAAACACGGCTAATTGCCTGAGCACAAACTTCACCACTAAGAAGCATTTACAGAAACTTGCGCTTAAGTTTTAGCAGCACTAACAGTAGGAGTATATAAAGGAAAAGCTTTTTTATTAATAGTTTTGACATCTGACACATCACAAACAGCATCTTTGCTCCCTGCATCGTCTAGAGAGACAAGACATCAGCAGGAGCTGGAAATAAACCTGCTCGCTCTCACCTTTCAAGAACAAACTGCAGCACGCTTCACTTCTGTTGTTTTTTTTTAAATGTTTGTTCATTTGTGCTCAGACAGCCATCAGACCCACCTGATGCTAACGTGGCGTTTGCCAAAAGCCCTTTTTCTTCCTCATTTCTCTGCTACCCATGATGCACTGAGGCTCTGAGACGCCTGTTAATGCAAGCGTGCTCAGCAGGTGATGATCCACGTTAGTCATTGTCACTCTGAGCAGGAAAATTACAGTACACATAAGACGCATGAACTGCCATCTGACACGAGCGATCTAAATAGCTTCGGGTTACGCTCGGAAAACTTTCACAATAAACAACTTAGTCCTTACAGCTTTAAAATCTGCTCCTTTCTCCCCTTATCAATTTATATATATTTTTATCTGTATTTCCCTCAGTTTTTTTTACATATTTATCTTTTTTCTCAGTGCTTAAAAATTATCATTTGAGGCAAATTTGATGCAAAGACTATGAAGGTAAATAAAATGCCTAAAAGATTTGCAAACGCAGGGTAAGAGCTGTGGAAGTGTACATAAGACTGTAAGCGTAAATTAAATTTGCATGCGCAAGAGAAGCTTTGTAAAGGTGTAAATCGCGTTTCAAGCGTAAGAAAAAATGATTTACAGCATTTTACTGTTACTCGTAAGCAATGTTCCCTCTAAGCTGCGCGCGCAATTCTTGCACCGCGGCCGCACAGAAGGAATAATGTGCCACGCACACGCATAAATGAGTTGGGAAAGCCATTTGCGAAAGCGAATGAATTGCAATGCTCGGGTAAACCGCTATAGAGTTGATATCGCTATAGAGTTAGAACCGGTGAATGCGGTTTACAGGTTTCATAGAAAGAGAATGATGTGCACCAAATGAGTCGCTGTAGAACCCGAATATTTTAATGGTTGCGGACGACATAGCTCAAATCGAGAGCCAACGCAAACGCAATGACGTGAAATAAAACGTCATCATGTATTAAAGAAGAGTGGCTTGATTAAGTGCTGGAAATAGCGGATGATGGACACAGAACGGTAACAAAACTCAGAGCCATTTACAGTCACACACAGATGTATTGTGCAAACTTCTGTACTTCTGTACTGTACAAAAAAACTGTACTTCATAGGGATGTTTAGATAGCTATAGAAGAATTCACGTTCACGGTTTTTTTTTATATTTAACTTAAATATAAATTTAAATGCTTCAGCTTGTTTTCTATTCTATTCTATCAGTTTAAATGCTTCAGTTTGTTTTGATATTATATTATGTTAGGCCTATATTATAAACCTAATAAATAATTAACCTTGTTTTTTAATGGAGTCTCTTATGCTCATCAAGGATGTATTTATTTGATCGAAAATCAGAACTCCTTTCACACAGCGTAATTGTGAATCGCCGACAGCTCCAGATATTTAGCATGCCAAATATTTCATGAAATATGAAATATTCTGTGTCTTTTATAATTCACACTGCGTGATTGTCACTCGCGTGAACGAGCACCGATTTTCCTCCGATTTCGGGCATTTGTCGCGATTTCGCAAAACCTGTCGGCGAGTGAAAAATCGGGCAAATTG